TGGCGTTCAGCGTGCTGCTGCCCGCCTGTCCCCTGCAGCGCTGCTGGGCGCGGGGTGCTCCCGGCTGCCCCTGGGGATCCGGGCATCGGTCCCCACAGGGCACCCCGCTGTGCCAGCCCGGATGGCTGCTGTTGCTCGGGGCAACGTTAGCTCTGATGCTGCTCCATAAAACGTAAAGAAAACTGAGAACCTCCTCAGCAGCCACGGTGTAAAATGGAAATGCCGCCCCCACGCACGCACACCGCTGGGGAAGCAGGTTTTCTGTCTTCCAAGAAGAGCCAAAGCATCATTGTTTCAACCCGGGTTTTTCTCTCGTGAAGTCTCTGTGTAAAGCTGACTTGTTTGTAGCCATGGAAATTCTCATTCCCGTATCGAGTTCTTTGCGATCGCAGATGAGGGCAGGCTATCAAAATGGCAGTGGCCTGATCCCTCTGCGACTCGGTTACAAATCAGCTGGGTGCCAATTTAATTCACTACGTATATGCTCTTATAAAATGCCTAAGTGAGCCGAGGAAAGGAAAATGATTGAAAAAAGGTTAAAATATGAACTAATTAATCTGAGTGATTTGTGAGCCTCTGCTTCTGTAAGTAAGAACAGTTACACAATTGTGCCTTTTAAAGAAAGAAAAAGCTTCATTTCTAGGGCAGCAGAGGGAAGTGCTCCCAGCCCGACCAACCGTCCAGGGGAGACAAACCAGACGGCGACAGCGTGGTCTTCGGTGAAACTCCCATTTTGCTCTTTTACACGGTCTAGATAGGCTAGAGCGTGCATCTGAGCTGCTTGTGGTAGGGGTCTCCGTGTTGCTAATGAGGTCCAGGCAGCCCAGTAGGCTTCTGCTGAGCTGTGGGGAGGAGGAGACGGGCTCTGCGTGCTCCTTGCAGGGTCACTTCACAGCCTGGAGTTTATGGTAAACGCTCCTAAATTTCTCTAGGAAAACCAGAGTAGTAGAACATGACATTCCTCACATTTCTAATCTAAAAGAATAAGTATTTCCATGCGGCCAACGTGCAGCCTACAGAGGGGGCTGACAGAGAGCTTTAAATCCTTCCTTTGTCAACTTTAAAGAAAAGTCTGTAAGATTAGGCAGAACAGCAAACAAATAGAAAAATGTATGTGTGTGGGTTTTTTTGGAGGGGGGTATTGTTTTAATTTGTCCCTAGAGAAATGGGATGGGCTGTTCAGCCCAGCGTGGTTACGGGGGGACCTCACCTGGTGGTCACTGCCGTGACTTGGCGGGAGCAGTCGGGGAAGGCGGTGAGCAGCCACAGCTGTAAAGACAGCAGCGGCTCAGCTGTGAGGACATTCGTACCTGGAAATGAAATCCTGCATGTGTTAATCTCTCAGACAACGAGCCTCACAAAACCAAAACAAGATGTAAATGGCTGGGTGTTGATCCACCAAGCCACGGGTGTGTTTATGTTGCCTGAAATATTAATGCTGTCATGTAGCGTAGCGTAGCACAGACATCTCTTTGTTCGGAGGTGAGTCTTTGTCGTCTTGACGCTGGATTTAAGGCGAGTGCCCTAGTTCATACACGCTGCTCATCTCTTACATAAAAGATTTTATAATTGCTCTTGATACAAGCATAAAGCAAACCTAGAATTCTGAATACCCTAGCAATGCAGTGCCTTTATTTTATTTTTGTCCGTTCACTACTAATAATGTCGTATTTTGGATTATAGGACAGAAAACTCACAAAAGTAGAGAGGCAGAGATTTAAAGAGGAAGCAGAAATGTTGAAAGGTCTACAGCATCCAAACATTGTGAGATTTTATGACTTCTGGGAATCCTGTGTAAAAGGCAAAAGATGCATCGTGCTGGTTACCGAATTGATGACCTCTGGAACACTAAAGACGTAAGTACTGCGCTCCTGGTGAGGAGGCTAAGAATAGCGATGGAAATTTTTAGAAAAATCCTACTTTTGTATTCTGAAAAAAGGCATCTCCAGATAAAAGGAAAAAATGGAGCTGTTCTCTGGTGTCTGTCAGTTGTCCCTGCGTTTGAACTGCATTGATTTGACAGGAAGAATTTTGGCCTCCATCTCTCTTTCCCCGCTCTCCTGTTTCAGTTATGCAACTAGAAGCTGTTCTCTGGTGTGTTTCATCTTCTGCCTGTGACGTTTTGTCAGGGTGTGTTTTTGTGATTGCTTTTGTGCTTGTGTTTGCATGTTTTGTTAGAAAATTTAGATAGAATAGCACTTGAATGGTAGAATCTCTTTTTGAAGCAGAAGGTGCTCTAGGTTATCTACTAAACAATGTTAATTAATAGCTTTTGGTACTGGCAGTCTTGTTAAGGTTGATATAAAACAGTTGGCATGAATTCTGGAACAGATTTTTCAGCCCCAATGGGAGCAGTACCCATCACTGCATATATCCAGCGTGCTACTCTGCCAGTGCGTTAGCAGGTTTTACGTTTTTCCGAAATGTGCCCTCCCAATCAGTGGTTTAGGTAAATGGAAAAAATGCAGGTGCATGGTACAGAGGTCAAAGCCTTGTGGTTAAAATTAAACTTCAGTATTCTTCTGATTTGAATATATGAAACATATCCTAAAGCTGTTCTCTGCATGAAGTGAATTGCTGTACTATTAGACTTGCAAATATTTGGTTGTATTTGCACCAAAAATGCTTATTATCTTCCTTCCTAAAAATGAATGCTCTAATTCCTCCTTTGAAAAGATCTATTTCTTTCAATTTTGTGATATTTCTGAGCGGCTATTATGGCATCTAATAAGGGGCTTTTATCCAGAACGGAGTTTCAGCTGCTAAAGCCCCTAGAATCTCTAATAACGCTTCATTTTCTTTATGCCCACTTCTGTGTATGTTTGTGCTCTAGGTATCTGAAGAGATTTAAAGTGATGAAACCAAAAGTCCTGCGTAGCTGGTGCCGGCAAATCCTCAAGGGTCTTCTTTTCTTGCACACAAGAACTCCACCAATAATTCACAGAGACTTAAAATGTGACAATATTTTTATTACTGGACCAACTGGATCTGTGAAAATAGGAGACTTGGGTCTGGCAACCCTCAAGAGAGCTTCGTTTGCCAAAAGTGTAATAGGTAATCCTCCTGTTCTCCTTGGCTTCCTCCTGTTGGTATGGTGGTTGTCTTTTTAATATCTTTCTCTTACATTTTGCATTAGTGGTTTTTTCACTTGTAGGTTGGTGGTAGAGATTAAAGTGGTTTTGTGACTGTTCCCTTTATACCACTATAAAAATCTCAGTCAGTAGGAAATGGTATCACGACTTCCTCTTCTCCTTCCTTCTGTGTATCACAATGGTAGAACACTTTTTTGTTTGTTTTTTTAATTGAAATATTACTTGGTATCCACAAATCCTTCTCCTCTCTCCTTTAAAAAGAGCAGCAAGGGTTCTCAGCAGCTTGTGTGCATCATCCTCCAGAGAACAGGCTCAGTGCCTGCTGGGGGGGGAGAAGAAAAGAGAGAGGAGAGGGAAGAGAAAGGATGCCCTGCTCTCTCCCTAACAAGGGAGTGCTGCAAAAGCCTGGCAAAATCCCTGGGAAGTCTTCTGCTTCCAGTGATGCTGGGATAGGGAGGGTTACTTTTGCTTGAAGGGAGAGTCAGTAGTGTCCTGTGGAGCCGGGCTTCTCTCCTTTGCAGAGAGGTCGTAGGGGAGCTGGCCTGGCTGGAACACCTTATCCCCATTTACTGGGGCATCAGCAAAACAGGCTGCTTCTGCAGGCAACTGCGGAGCTCATCCCTGCCTCGACGCTGTCCTGGCAGAGTTCTGCTGAAACGACGTCTGCAATTCATTAAAAATCAGTAGGTACGAAATTAAAAGAAATTTCCACTAGGATATGCAATATCTGATGCCCTTAGGTGGTGCCCACGTGAGGAGTGTTAGAGCTTGGGTTTGCTTGAACTGGGAGGACGTTTTCTGAATGACTGCTGACGGACGTCGTTTCCTTGCAAAAGCTACATTTAATGTTTTCTGTGTAAATGTAATGTTCTCCTGAATTCTCAAACACTTTGTGTTTTTTACCCAAGCTTCCGTAGCGACTCTCCCTTGTTCAGATCTGTAGGTGATGGTTCTAGGAAGCTGCAGATTCCTGAGAAATGATGCTGAAAGTGGGGGAAGTTACCATGCCCGTAGTTGTGTTTCAGCTTACAATATAAATGGAAACTAGATTTAGGTAGAGTCTCAAACACTTTGTGTTTTTTACCCAAGCTTCCGTAGCGACTCTCCCTTGTTCAGATCTGTAGGTGATGGTTCTAGGAAGCTGCAGATTCCTGAGAAATGATGCTGAAAGTGGGGGAAGTTACCATGCCCGTAGTTGTGTTTCAGCTTACAATATAAATGGAAACTAGATTCTAGGTAGAGTTAGCAAACTGATAGTGACTACCACTGTTCCCTTGCTATATATGAAAACAGCCTCCTGTCTTTCAAGCAGTAGTTGCTTAAATAATTATTTTAGCATCTCAAATTTTCAGAGATTGTAATTCTTTACAATTATTTGTACAAATATCATCCTTAATGCTATCCCTAAAACATCAGCCTTAATGCTCAGGGAGCCCAGTATCGTTGAAGTCAAAATGATAGAAATTTTGGATATGTGCTTGGCTACTATGGGTCTGCTTAACCCTGTTCATTTTAGTGAAATCATGTTGGTTTATATCTGTTAAGTTTCTCTAGTTTTCAACTTCGTATAATCGGTGGGGTTTTTTCTGTTGAGGATCAGTATTTCTTCACATAATTTTTTTGCAGTATAACAATTGTTCATGGGAGATAATGGAATAATATCAGTAATGCCAATACGGGGAATAATATCAGTAATGCCAATACAAGTTTTTGTAAAATCAGTTGTTACCACAGCGCTGTCAAAGCACGCTCGTGTCTAAAAGAAATTCAATACGGAAAAGGGCTGCAGGTCCCTGGCAAGGTGTCTGCATTCACTTTGGCAATATAACCGAGCTTATCTTTTTCATGAGTAGCGCTGCTCCAAGGAAGGAATTAGGAGGGCTTGGAAGCACTGGTGAGATGAGTAATTCTGCCCCCTCCGTAGATGTAGTAGCTTTAAAGGAATATTAGTAGCTGCAGTTTTACATCCGTCTGAAGGGAATGAAGTCAGCATGGCTGAGGTCCAGTTTTTCCCTTGCTGCGTTGGTGCCATCGCTGATGCTCATCTGACCTTGCAGTGTATCTCTGCAGGGAGCCGAGCCAGGGCAAAACTCCTTCTGCCAAGAGGAGTTGAAAAGATGCTGAGCGGCTTTACATTTAAGTGGTCTGTTTTATTTAAGGATACTTGTGTGTATGCCTTCCCAACCCCAAGGGATGGGGGGAAAATGTCATTTTTGTGCTGTTTTGGAATGGTGTCAAGAATGTCATTTGTTTCTTAGACTATCGCTATCACTTTTTCAGATTTGCTTTAAATGCTCCATAATTCATGAGATTCGCTCCTGCTTCTGAGTCTTGTTCCTTCTAAAACAAGGTAGCAGCTCCAAAAAACGTTCTCTATGGCAGCTGTTAACCGTTTCAGAGCAGCAGCCGCCGCCTGTGTGGCAGCTGGGAGAAAAACCCTGAGAGCAGGCACTAAGTTAAGCTTTCACGACATGGGTCCGGCTGATGTACAAAGGCTGAAGGAACGAGTGTCTTTGAGGTGGAAGGAACATAAACAAAGGGAGGGATCGATCCCGAATTTTGCAAAATGAATTTTACAGAAATGCTTGTGCTGAGGCTTGTTTTGTGAGTTAGGCCAAGTCTACTTCAGAAAACGTGCAGAAGCAGAGTTTTTACTGACAGAACCTGATTTTGAGAGACGTCGTTTATGTTGCTGTTAAAAAAAAAAAGCTTACATCAAGTCCCCAGACATATACGAGAACTATTTTTTCCCGGTATATGTTACTTTAATTACAGTTGTGCTTCTGCTGCTGATGTAGAGATGTCATCACAAAAACCTGACAGACCCGCCAGGCTGCCGCAGGGCTCCGGGGGGCAGTTTGGGTGCGGAGGCGGCTGCTGCTGGGCCCGACGGGCAGAGTTTGTCCAGGTCCTTCACGTGGTCCGAGACCTCTCGCACTCCTTTTGGCATCCCGGTGTGCGGCTCGCGCGCCGCCCGGCTGCGGCAGGGCTCCGGGGGGCAGTTTGGGTGCGGAGGCGGCTGCTGCTGGGCCCGACGGGCAGAGTTTGTCCAGGTCCTTCACGTGGTCCGAGACCTCTCGCACTCCTTTTGGCATCCCGGTGCTCGCGGCTCGCTGGTCCTCTCCCGCAACACACGACTGCATTGATCTCTCTTCCTTCATCTTTTCTAAATGTAAAAAGGAAAGAAATTAGTCTTGACTCCTAAGCGTAGATTACATTACAAGATACAGTTCCTGGAATAAATTACCTAAGTGTTAATTTTTTTCTCTTTGGCTTTGTAAGACCACACTTTTCAGAGTAGTTTGCTGTGCTAACGTTGCAGGCGTTGTAAGTCGCCACTTGTCATAAAGCTGCAGCTTCCCGTTATGAAGCAGTAAGTACAGTGCTTCACTTAATATTTATCCGGTTGCATCAGATTTCTGACACCCTGATCCCTGTTGAGTAGGACCTTATTCTGTGAGTAGCCTCATTGATTTGTCCCACTAAACCAGTGACAGAATTATGTTTAATGTTTTGTGCATGACTATGTAGGTGATTTGTGATACTACTTGCTTTCAAAGTGCTGTCTGTCTGCCGGGTGGTTGCTGTGTATCTCTGGAGGAAAAAAAAATGCAAATTTGCATTGATAAAAACAAGAGTGAAGGTTCTCGTTTCGTCTCTCCTTTTCACCTCCACAAGCCTGTGCGCATCCCTCTTTCCACCCAGAAAAAGAAACCATTTTGTGACTTCCAGTATGGTCAGGCAATGTGCCATATCTCGTTCTCTTGTTCATTTTTGAAATTTTGATACTTCTTTTTTTCCCCTCTTCCCCCTTGTATTATTACCAGCGAGCCATGGGTATGAAAGTGTGTGTGTGGACTTTGGGTTTCTTCCCTGGAGGATGCTTGAGCTTGTTCTAGTTACTTCCCTCTTCTGAAATTATCTTGCATGCACCCTTACACAGCTATAATGGGCATACTTCTCATAGGTGAAAAAGATTGTGGTTAAAGCCATTTAGACTTTATCAGAAATTTACCTTTCTCTTTGTGCGTGTCTGTGTAGGTACACCAGAATTTATGGCCCCGGAAATGTATGAGGAACACTACGATGAATCTGTGGATGTCTATGCTTTTGGAATGTGCATGTTGGAAATGGCTACCTCAGAATACCCTTACTCAGAATGCCAGAATGCTGCTCAAATTTACCGGAAAGTAACCTGTGTGAGTAAACGTCCTTAATTTGTCTTGGGATTTTGTAATTTGAAGGTTTAAAAACGTATTTTGATGAGGTGTCAGTACTGTCGAATGTGTAGTGTGTTGTACAAGTTGAGGTATCTGAGCTCTGGGTTACGCAAACCTGTGGCAGGTTTATTTATAAGCTTGCAATTCCACGGTTGGATTGTGTTTGACTGTACTGCAGCTGCATAAAATATTTTCAGTAATCTTTGTTGCTGATTTTGTCTCCATCAGCCAAAAATACATAAAACTTGGGAAGAATGAGCAGGGAAAAATCTTTGCTCTAGTCTTGCCTCCTAAATGGGGACTTTTCAGGCTTGATCAAGTTTCCCACAAAGCTAAAAGGACTAACTTTCGGGTTACAGCCTAAATACTTACATGGTGGAGGATGTTTGATCCAGATTTTCAGCACAGATTCTCTCTGTTTGTATGTGTAAGAAATTATCTGAAGATATAAAAGGCAAAAGATAGCAATGTTTAGTTTTGGAGTCAGCCAGAGGAGCTTTATATCTATGTTTTGGAACTCTGCAAGGTCTGGTAATCCCCAGACAGGAACCATGGAAATGGGTTTGCTGTGTTTTCAGGTGAGGTTAGGCTGGAGGAGAAGTCAATCTAAAATAATCTCTACACTGAATAAAATACCCTCTCCAACATTCTCACCCCCAGATGATAAATGTGTTTGTCTACATGAGCTGTACTGCGAATGCCTGAAAAAAACTCCTGAGTCTGTAAGATGCTCTCGGATTGCCAATCACTGACTGCAGAGAAATGAGGCTTGCCAAAAGCTTTGGCAGCAGTGGTTATGTCCTGTTCTACTTGGTTAAGTGAAACCAAGAGTTACAGGAGGGTTTTTTCAGGATAGATTATGTGAAACAGACTGGTTTGTCAAAGATTTTCCCAGGTACTTCTTTCCATCTGGTTGCTACAAAAGAAGATAGTGAGCTCGGTGGTTTGGCCCTCGTGCATCACCAAAAGATGCAGTCTGCACACCCAGGATGTGAAGAGGGTAATCCTCGGAAGAAAGCTGCACTAAAATTTGCAAAGATTAGCTACAGCTAAGGTTGCTTTTATTTCTTTGACCTATAAGGTAGAAAGAGTAGTTAGGCTTACATAGTAGATATATTGAGTGGATCCATCTCTCAATCTCCAAAAGTGTGGTCCCAAAATTGGTTTGTATTCCTCTTATCCAACTACTTGTCATGAGCAAAAATCTTCCCAAATGAAACTTAGTAGTAACTGGTTGATTTTGAAAGCTACTTGAGACCATTTGCCTTCTCCAAGAGGTTTAGTGAATCAAGCCAGTACAAATACGGTTCTGTGAAATCCTGCAGTCGGCAAACACTGCTCGAGGTCAAAATTGCTTTTTCTGATTTGCTGTATGCTAATCTCTCGCACTGGATACAGAGATGGTGTTTCATCAGCTACCCAAACACTCGCATGTGCCAGATGACGGGTTTATGTGCAATTTAATTTTTATAGGTATGGTTTGTATTGTTCAATATCTGTCTTTTCCCACCACTGAAGACCAGGATGCCGGGAAGTTGGTGCTCTTGTTATAGGTTGCTGTGCTAACCAGCTGTGACGGTGCTAACTTGGGGAGAGAGGGAGGGTGCAAACGATTCGGGAGTCTGTGTTTAAAAGTTGAGGTCAGTATCACAAGACACAGGAGGATGTTCCTGCTGGAAATGAGAGAGATGCCATGGCTTTCTGAAAGCAGGAGGAACACATCTGAAGAGGGGAAGCAGCTTTATCCCATTTTTGTGTTAACTGTTGCAAGCTGACATGTGTAACTTGGTAAAGCTGAATCTTTCCCAGTGGACTGCAACCCTGATTTCTGGTAGTTTAATGCTTCTTAGAGTGTTGTTTTCAACCCGTAGCTACTCAGAAATAATTAAAAAAAAAAAAAGCCATCAGAAGCTGCTCAGCAGTGCAGTTAGCTTCATGGCTATGGCTGGAGCAGCTCCCTATGGCGCTGTAGGGAAGGGAGTGTGTGCAGAGATGGGTCTGCTGGTTTGCTGGCTGCAGGCCGTCGCGCTCTGCGCCATGGGCTGGCTGGAAATGCATGCTGCATCTTCTCAAAGAAGTGACATGGGTTTGATGGCTCAGTGGAGTTGCTTGCCTGAATCCTTATGAGGATGGCTGCTTGTTCCACATCGTTATTCCACAGTGCTTTTATCCCATTGTTACTCCACTCACTCCTGCCGTACAAGGAAAAGTTTATTTCGTTTGGCAAAATGGCTTGTTGACTCCATTCAGGTACGGAGTCCTTCGGATGTGCTCTAAATGCCATCGTTGTAGGTAGCTTAGGAGACATCTCCTCGGGCTCTAAAGCTTCACATGGTGACAACAGGAGTCTCTTCTAATTTTAGGCTCTGGGGCCTCGTCTCCTGAATGCGATACCGGTCTTGTAACCCTAGGTACTGAATGGCTTTCATGAGAAGTGTAGGGTGTGTTACCTTCCGCCTTGGACAGGCGTTGCGCGAGCAGCGTGCCTCATTTGTTTGTGGAGCTGCCATCACGGTTAGCTGATGTTAAGGCGACCTGGGTACATGTGTATGCATTTAGAGCCACAAATAATATAGATGTCTTCCATTGCTCCCCGTACCCAGAGAAACTCTGTGTACAACTCTTAGCCATCTGGAATATTGGTAATTAAGACTTTGTAAGACTCCTAAGCCTCATTTATCAAAGCAATATCCAAGATGGCAAAGAATAATGATTAATCAGAGGATTCCTAATTAGATGTTATATTTCAGTTTGCAGACTTAAGTAGTCATTTTTTTTAAACACTGATGAAAGCCTGAGCCAACTAATTTTCTGTGGCAATAACCTTTACATAGCTGAGGATTATATGGTAAATTATTATAACTTTGTAAAACTGGTCATGTACTAGCAACTTTAGAGAGATGGAAAATAATGCTTATCTTGAAGAGTAAGTAATGGCAGAGAAGCTGTTGAAAGGTCACTTTATTACTTGTAAGGGGTATTTTTGAAACAGAGCTGTCTAGCAGGGAAAGCTGAGACAGAAAGCATCAGGTACGGACACGGAGGGTGTGTATACTGCTATTTTCAGCTGAACTCGGGGCAGTAGCAGTGAGAGCAAAGGCACCAGGACTCCTTAGATGGAAAAATTGGTATTACTGTTGTTCCAATGAAAGGGTTAACCAGCTCCCTGTGGAGAGGGAAGAAGCCCTGTCGCATGCCATGAGCTGCATGAACTGTCAGACACAGAGGAGGAGCAGGGGGTGGACCTCTTGGTGAGGGTGCAAGAGGAGCAGCGGATGCCCTGGGGGAGATCCCTGGTCCCAGAAGGAACCTCTCTGGCAGCTCAACAGCTTCTCTAGAGGAGCTGCATCCGCAGAAGAGCTGGCGACAGCAAGGGACCCCGCTTCGATCCGCGTGAGTCGCCCAGCCGGTGCCGCGCGGGCTGAGAGAAGACGCTGCTGCTGCTGTTGGGGTTGTAGGCACTTAGAGTGTGGGGTCCCTCCGCCTTGTCCTCAGCCATCACCTAACGGTGGGGTCTGCCCCGTTAGCTGGGGTGGTGACGACTTACAGACGGAAAAACTTTGAAATCACTTTTCATGAAGAGTTAGGGTTGGTCATGCAGCAGCTATTGCTAGTGTTTGGTTTTACTAGACTGAAATATAGCATAGAAATGGAACGTAGACTAAAACCAAGAGGCTGAATTACACTGTTTTCTTCCCAGTGTGAGATGAGGTTTGGGGTTCTCACTAGAGCAGAAGGTGGCCCTGACCTTCTCGGATGGAGGGGATCAATGGTGCAGCACTCCCGAATGCTGTCACGTATTTCAGCTTGTCAGTGAGAAATTTAATTAATTTTTGATGAAACTGTTTTTTTGCACCAGAAGTGTAAACACTATTTTTAGTCTTTTGAATTGAGGGTCAATGTAATGTAAAAATGCGATTGCTGTCTAGTTTCCTGATGCTTTTATTTTAAAAATATAAAATAAAATGACTTCTCCTGCCTTGGGCTCAGCATCGTGGTGGCAACCACTGGAGGTGCTAATAGCATCTAAAGGGGTTGGAATTGCCTGCTAGTGTTTGCATCAAGCAAGCGACTGCTTGCTAGTGAAGGTACAATAACCACCTTATTCTTTAGACTGCCTCTAACCATACTTTGGATTACGCTGGGACGCACGTTCCCTCTGCTGCCCAGCACAGTCGGTGTATTACGTTGGTTTTGCCATTACAATACCTTTTTCAATTGTTTCTACTCTGTGTCCTAACACTCTATCAAACTCTTGCCTGCTAACAGGACGTAAGATACATCTGAAGTCATAGCTGTTCAAGTCGTGTGCATTGGTAGTCCTTATTGGTATAGAAAATAGGAACATTACCCTTCTGAGACATTACTATTTTGTGTTAAGGTATTACGCATTATGCATGTCTGTAGCATAAGATTATTACACTTATTTATCTCAGTGACCTTTTATTCTACCTGACCATATTTTCATGGCTTAATTGCTGCTTTAGTTTTCCACTCTTGTTTTTACATATGTGTAACTGTATGTATATAATAGTCCAGGATAAAGTGGCAGTCATCTCCCGAGCCGTTTCCCAAATGCTGAGGGGCTCATCTCTTTGCCAGATTAGACATGCTTGTTACGACTTGTCACCTCTCTCTCTGCCCTTTCAGCCTGAATTCTGGAGTGTAAACATAAAAAAAGTGGATATGTAACATGAGTAGATAATACATATTTTTCAAGCAACAGGTCCAAGCCACGTTTACTGTAGTTAACTTTGAAGTGATTTCCTGGTCAGCATATTTGCCAGTGACCTTCATTCTGATGCTATAATCTCATTTTTCATGCATAACTTGATGGTTTTTCTTAGTCGGATTTTTTTTGTGTTTAATCATTCTGCCAAGTGATTTTGATGTAGACAATAGGCATATTAAGTGATGAAACATCGGAGTCCATGACCTTCCCATGCAGCTCCAGTCCAATGTTTTCTTACTGATGCACTGCAGAATGCGCAGCAGACCAGCTGTATCTGCCGGGGGTTCATGGCGACCTCGTTGGGTTTAGCAGCACAAACCTGTGCTTTAAAACAACCCGCGTGTTTATAGTGTTTGGTTTTGCATTTTAAGTTTTCATATTGTTTCTTCTTTATAAATGTATTGAATGTTTTCTCGGCATTCGCAGGCTATATTCTATATTGCTTATACAGACAGAATAAATTATATAGCTGTAGCACAGCAACAACAGACAAATAATATTATGAACGTCATTGCATTGACTTTTTGTGTGTTTCAGATATCTTCTTAGATCTGCAGATAATCTTCTTAGATTAGCATTAGGATTGAATACCATTTTGGAGTGAAATAGGGATGAGTCTATAATTGCATACAGCAGTCTCGCCACTGAATGTCGTGGAACAAGATCCTGACAAAATTGAGAACTCCTCCTCCACTTTATTGACTTCAGAGAGTGTGTGGTAGGGTGGAATTTCATTTGGAAACATGGTTTCAGCTTTTTTGGAAGAGGAGGTTTTTTCCTTTTCTGGGAACTACATGAGTCTAGAGACTACCTTCAGGTAGAAGGTGGAGTTTTAGTCCAAAGTAGACTCCATCTAGACTAGGAGGGCACCTCCTAGGTGAAAGGAAAGCCTTTAGAAAAATTACTGGCTAACATGGCTCGGACTTAACGTTGACTTGTCTGGCATACACTGTGCATCTTATAAAGCATTATGTGTTACTTCTTCAAAAGTGTGCTCTGCTGGTGGAAAAATGACAGGCAGCTACTTTTAGACCTCCGAAAAATAAGCTTCACGTTTTTGCCCCCAAGGTAAAGGTTAAAATTTTAATATCCTATATGTGCCTGACTGTAGACTCAACTATCGTGTACTGGAGTGCAATGTATTTCAAATCTAATCACTTCAGAAAGAAGGTGAGGAGACTAAGTGGTGGTGGGATTCAAAGTAAATCATCCTGTTCGAGACAGAGAAATTCTGAAAAGGGAGATTATTTGATCTGCTCTCATTTTGCTCTTGGATTTTTTTTTTAATATATATATACACATTAAAAAAAAGGCATTTAAGAATTTGTATGAAAATACCCCTAAGCACCTTATGTCAACCAGTTAGCCCTGCATTTCAGATGCAGTGGTGTTGAATTTACTTTTGTTTACAAGACGGCTGTACGGTTTTCAAACTGTCATGGATAATTCCTTAGCTTATATACTTTGAATTTTGGTGCCATGTTTCCTTGGGAATGCTCAGGAAAGACAGATGGCTTTTGTATAAATGAATGAGATGAGCCCTTTGATTGCAAATCGAAATCTGTGTTTCGCAAAAACCCCCTTCATTGTCAGGAGGCTCGTAAGCACCGGGGCGCAGCGCCATAGGGAGGGTTTGCAGCATTACGGTGAGATGGCCTTGGAGATTTTAATGAAGAGTAGGGAGCAAAAGCATGCTATAGCATATGGGCACTGAGAAAACGCTTTGGCAAAGCAGTTCTGTTCACTACTTCACTGTGCATATTTTGTCCTTGTTTGTTTTAGTCATCTATTCATGGCTTAGCTGTTCAGTAGATTAATACAATAGATGGTTGGAGAGGAGTCAGTGTTCCTTCAAAAGATGTTGAAAGTAAAATGGTGTTTGGAGGAGCTGCTATTTTTTTTGTGGAAGTAATTTGTAAGGTCAAAAATAGGGGTCAGTCGTCAGGGGTCTTATAAGGTACTTAGGAGGTGAGGGCTCAAATTTTGTATATTAGAAATGTGTGAAATGTGTCAAATGTGTCAAAGCGGTCAAAAGGACCACTTTCAGGCAAACCAAATTTCTAGATGCCCACTATGCCCTGCCCTGCTCCTCCGTCCCAGTCACGTCAGAGTGCCAGTTGAACCATGTAAATGAAGACTGTTTGTGAATTCTGGAAAAGAAAATTAAATTGAGAGATACTGAGATATGCCTTATGCTATTCGTGTCTCTCATATGTTCAGCTTGTGTCAAGATACCCACGAAGCGCTCTGCAATTATAAAAAGCAATTGGCAGGTTCCCTTGAGTGTGTTGATACGTGAGCAATATATTCCTCTAGGTAGCTGAAAGCTCTTCAGGTAGTATGGTGAAAGTTGCCTCTACTGCTTTCTGCTGCGGGTTGGGGGGGGGGGGGGGTTGCTGTTTTTTGGGGGGTTTGGGGTTTTTTTTCCCCCAGTTAAATTGATACCGATGCACGTTTGTGGGATATTTTTCAGTAAACATTAAGCTATAGCAGATGATGGTCTTTATTACCCATTCTTCCTGGTAGGTGTCACTAATCAATGGTTTCCTATAGCAAACTGGAGCATTCAGAAATGTAGAGATTTGTCCTATTGCTTTCCATTGTGAATTACCAAAGATTTCTTCAAACTCCTTCCCATCTGAGAACACGATAGGCTCCTGTAGCTTTAGGGTGCATTAGGGTATAGAGGATTCATGCTAAAAATGTCTTTTGGTACTTTTTTGTTTTCTTTCATTTCTAATTCGGGTATCAGAGCTCTCTTAAAGAAACACTCTTGACACACTGTGGTGTGCTTTTGCTTGTTTTGAGCAAGCCTGGGCTTTGGTAGGCTGGACATTCCCTATCATTTTGACACATTTCTAATATACAAAATTTGAGCCCTCACCTCATAAGTAAGATTTAGGTTTGCTTAAGCAAATAATTCTTTTTAGTGGGTCACTGCCAGCCAGCCACGTGTACGGATTATTTTGTTTTGTTCCCACATGAATGGTTTTTTTGGATCTCGGCAGCTCTCTGCCCAGGCAAAACTGGGAAGCAGAGTCTGTATGACTGCTCCGTCATTTATTTTTTCCCAAAATTTATGAATTGCATATTTCACTCTCAAGTTTTAAGACAAAAAGGGAGTGGCTGACCTGAAATTAAATAAAAAAATAAATCCAAGCTTAAAGTCGAATCTGAGGCTTGAATGGCAACAGAATGTTAATAAAAAGATAAAAGTATAATCTGATGCTGGAATATTCAGGAATTCTCAGAGAGGTGCCAGCCCTCATTGAAATTCACCCATAAAATTTATTCAAGACTAAATTCAGTGAAGTATTTGCAGACACTTTCTGAAATACATATTTTCTTTTTTTTTTTTTTTTGGTCCAAGGCACTATCAGGTGAGCCAAAAGTGCACTCTTCAGGACTTCAGGCCTCCTTATCTGCCACTCCATGATCCATTATTTACTGTTCTTTTAGGGTGAAACTTTAAAAGGATTTGAATGGAGTTAACTAAATGGGATTTGGATATTTATGTGCTTAATCAGATTCTGGGTTTTTTAGATAAAGGAAATCATCTTTCCTTTTTATTCTGCTTATTGACTTCATTGGAAATACTTGGGTTCTTAAGTAATAGGGTCTAACTGCAGAATCTGTTCCCAAATGAATTTTGTCAAATTTTCATTCATTACATCTTGTTTTAGTAGGTAGAGATGTTACGTGTTTTTAAAAATGAATCAAATTTTTTTGTGCTTTAAGCTGAACATCACAAATAAAAAGGATAACTTCTTGCGTTGCCACTCTTGTCATCTGTAGCTGAATATATGCGTGAACAGTATTCACAGGAAATCTTCTGTTGAACCGAATGGAATGAGTTACCGGTGTTACAGATGTTGGGTATCTGTTAAGTTGCTCCTACGTCGTTTGGCAAGGGGAGCGGTAGGGTGGCCTCGCTGGCAATGACGGCTGTTCCTAACGGAACATCCCTCCCTCCCTTGTCTGCAGCCCGGCATCAGAAGAAAGTGTCAGCCTGGGCTTTGAAAACGCACAGCTGCACCTGTGTGTGTTAACTGCCCAGCTGTTCCGGTAATTATTTTTTTAGTATATTTTGATTATGCGTACAGAAAGATGACATAATATATAGACTGTTATTTAGCCTGAGAACTTGCATTCTACTTCTCCTACAGTCTCTCTTCATGTTGGTAAGAGATACGTTATTTTAATTAAGAGGTTAGATACGCTGAGGAGGATCATGCTGAGTTAAGATCTTGGTCCTGAAGTATTAGAAAGTAGGGAGAGATGGCCTATGACTGCCCTAGAAGTGTGCACGTGTGTCTCTTTTAAATCCTCTCCATCCTCTTAAAACAACCCCACCTAACCTGAAAGTTATTCCTGCTGCACCTACGTCAAGCCAGAGCTCCCTACGTGGAGAAGCGGATTCTGCTTCTCTGAAGTTTCCTTCTGGAATGAACAGTTGGGTTTTCTCCTTGCAAGGCCATGCTCATAGGTTAGCTGTTCCAAATCTAGAACTGAACACTATTCCCAGAAAAAATGCTAACACTTGACAGAGATTTAACTTGATTTATAGGTGATACCTGCTCTGCCACTCGTTCCCGATGAGATTCTAACAGTGTGCTGGGGAAATGCAAGAGCAACACAGAGCTGTTGGGCATATTCTCCTGTTCCCCTGATTGGTTTTGGGGTTGCTTTGGGGGATTTTTTTTGTGGGGGGTGGGGGTGTTGGAGAGTGTTGGGGACATAGAAAAGCAAGAGGTTTGTGGGAAACAGGAATATGGAATATTCCAAGGTATTTTTGACTAATTCTTGAAAGTGGTTATCTGAAGAAAAACATGATTATTTGTCTTTATTCATTTAGTGTTTTGAGGGTTAATGCAGAAAACAGAAAAGGAATAATTTCAGAAAAGAGTTATTTTGAAAATTTAAAATTGGCTGTTTCTTGAATATTGACTTCAGAGTCCTCAGGATACGAAGGTAAGGTTTGCAAAAGTTAGTAAAGAAAAAGGGAGGTTGGCCCTGTGTACAGCTGAGTTCCTGTACAAACTAGTGTGCTTATTTTGAAGTGCAGCGGTACTTAGAAATATGGTAGCCCTAAATCCTCAATTCAGTTTTGCATTAAGACTATCAACTTTAAAGTATTAGTTACTCCAAGGGTTGAAATGACTGTAAAATGTAAGGAAAATGTCCTTAATTAAGAGATATAATGTAATTCTTTTTCAAACTAAACTGTTTTTCTCTATCCTTTCAGGGTATAAAACCAGCAAGCTTTGAGAAAGTTACTGATCCTGAAATTAAGGAGATAATTGGGGAGTGCATTTGCAAAAATAAAGAAGAAAGGTTTGTTTCAAGTAATCAAGTTTTGTATTAAATAATGTGTTTGCAGGGATTTCAAAGCTGACTGTGGATTTTTGTTCTGGCCTCTGGGTCTCCCCTGTGGAGGAGAAAATGCAGAATGGAAATACAAATATAAATGATTGCCCGCTTTCCTGCCATATAATGTCAGGATAATTGAATAAATGCCGTTGCTGTGTCTCTCAACCGCTCAGCTTCAAAGAATAAGGTCAGAAAGCATTATGGTGGACATGTGAGCCTAGCGTATTCTAGCACATTCTGGCCCATTCAGGACGTTCTGCGTGGAGCATCGAGTGTGGCGGAGGTCAACCACGAATGTGACATGGTAGATTCACCACAAGCTGTTATGGCAGATTCCGTTGTCTCTGGATATGGAAACAAATTGTGCCTTGTTTTCCAGCTTTGGTTTTAAAACCTAATCTTCTTATACTGGCCTCTCCTAGATGAGTGTGTCTACTGTCCAGTATTTCATAACTTTCACAAATACAGTTTTTGGGGACCTCAACTGACTACCTAGGGGTAACCTCTTTTTTAGTACTCTCGAAGCTCAGATACTCAAGAAAAGTTGAGCAAAGCTATAACCTGCATTTCTGTACATGCTTATGCCGTATGAATATTGCTGAAGCTTTGTGAAATGGGAAACATCATTTTTTCAGCAGTCCTCAGTAACACTGGAAATATTATGTCTGTTTTCTAAGAACACAAATTTGTTACGGATGAACACCAAACATACTGTAAATGTTTTTGCCTTTAACAGCAGTTTCTTGTCACAAACCTCTTTGAAATTCCTTAAGACTTGCAGTATTTGAATGTTCTTTATATCCATTGCAGATATGAAATTAAAGATTTATTAAGCCATGCCTTTTTTGCTGAAGATACTGGGGTAAGAGTGGAACTTGCAGAAGAAGACCATGGTAGGAAATCCTCTATTGCCTTAAGACTCTGGGTAGAAGATCCTAAGAAACTGAAAGGAAAACCCAAAGATAACGGAGCCATTGAGTTTACTTTTGATCTGGAGAAGGAAACTCCTGATGATGTTGCACAAGAAATGGTAAAATAAACTTCTCCTGACAAAAATGTGTGTATATATATGTAAAGTAGTGCATAAATCTCAAAAGGACAGCAGGAACAAGCCTGGTAAAGTAACTTCCACTTAAACCATTCCAGGTGTCTAGTTTAAGCAGTTTGCATTGATTTTAAAATGAATGCTGCAAGAAAGGGGTAAACAGGGAAGAACTAATAACTGAAAAATGGCGTTTACCGAGTGTGAAAACAGATGCATGAAATGGCATTTCAAATAGCTTAGGGACCATAGAGGTCTCTTCTACTTTTATATTTTGAAAACTCTTTTGCCAATTTCTGTTAGCTGTTGAACGCCTTTAAATTTGTTTGGAATCTGTTTAGTTTGGGAGAGCAGCTTGAAATAAGTTAGAGTTCAAAAGTTCAATCACAAAATATTCTGCACTGAATTCTTCAAAACACTTCTTTCCATCTTTTCTGTCGGTGTTACTTAGGAAGAATGTAGGTGAGGAAAGTCTGTGGTCAGCCACTCTATCGCCAAACATATATAGGAAACTAGATTCAAGCCCACTGCACAGAGTTAGGAATAAGCTTTGGATTTTTTAACATATAAGTTTAACTTGGTGAATTTCTGTATCTTAATAAGACTTGTGGGGTTTTGTTAGAAAAAAGCTATTTTGTGTTCCAGTTTCACTATATAGTCCTTGAACTCATGTTTTAATGATGTCTTTACTGCAGTTGTTTAGGTTTTCTAACGTCGTGGAGACATAGAATCAGTAAGCACTGAGTCAAGGGTCTGAATTTTCTTGTGCTTGCAGAAATGTTCCTATTGTAATCTAAATCCCAAGAGATCCCATTTAATGATGTTGTCATCACCACTCCTGTTCTGCTTAGGAGGCACTCATTTTGGTAATGTTGCCTTACTATGCTTGGACTCATCACCATGTACTCAAAATTTAGTGGGAGAAATTCAGGCTCCTCTGTCTTCTTGTCGTTAGTTTGCAGTAGGTGAAATATTTTTTGAGCAATGCATTATTACAGAACTCATTTCATTTAAAAGTTGCTCTGGTACGGTTACTTGCTGTTATATTTTGCATTTAAATATTTATGGAAATATTTGGAATTTTGAAGTTCTGTAGGTTACTGGCCCATAGTTGTGATATTTTGTTTTGAAGAGGAAATAATTCTCATAAAAAGTATATTTAAAAGGATCACTCCCAAACTACTGTGCTACTATACCCTTTCCCAAATAACTTTAAAACATGTGTGTTACTCTATTACATTAGTAGTTACCCAAGTGACTGCATGTGAAATGCTTTCAAACTTGAGGCTGGTGGGGGGGGTGGGCAAAGGGGGGACATTTATTCCTAAATGTCTTTTTCTAGCCCTTATGAATTATGGAACACCAAAGCCGTGTGCTTTCATCAATTTGTGTTGCTTTATGTGCTGTGGAAGAGAATAATGCAGGAGACCTTTTGAGTACAGGGAATTATTTATCGTTGTTGATGGGGTTTCAGTAGTCAGGCGTTCCAGCCTGTCCAAATGATGTGGGCAGAAGGAGCTTGAAACGTTCTGGTGGGTTTGCAACCTGAAGTTACCTTTCACAACCAGTGGGTACTGTAAAATAACGTCTTCATTAAACTTTAACCATTTCACAACCAGTGGGTACTGTAAAATAACATGTCTTCATTAAACTTTAACCGTTCTCTATATAGAGATGTAGGAATAAGAATTGTTTAAAAAAAAAAAATTTGTTAATGTGGCAGGTTTTCAGTGCCTTCCCATTAAGCTTTGTCTGAAGAATCTACTGGGCACGTTAGTACCATACAAGGTTCTCTGGACCTGTGTGGTTCTTGAGTAATTCCCTTCTGTTAGCATTTGCTGGATCATCGGTTCAGGAATGTCAGTAAGGTCTGAGGGCATAGGCAGTGGAAAATACCCATATCCATCTGCAGCTGTATTTTAAGCTGCTTTGCACCTATTAATTTTAAACAGCGGAAATCTAAGCCGTAAAACTGTCTTGTGTTTGGGCAAGAGCAAAGAAGGAAACCCTCTAGATTTCCTCCCTGTATATAAGTGCTTCCAAATCTATAGAATATGCATGTTAAGAATGTAGGGAGAGCAGGCAAATCTCTGGTAGGTCATTATTAAACAAAAATTCATACCCTATGCTGTAGGAGATTATGCAACCAAATAGCACAGAGATGAATTTCCATTTTTATCTGTTGAGCAGTTGAATTCTGAGAAAGCCTGGTCCCCTTTTCAGGCAAACGTGAACAGTCTGCATTTGACTCAGTGATAGGTTTTTTCTTTGTAAAAGTCAATCAATACTGACTGACTTCACCATTTAAGAGAAGTTAATTTGAGACGAAATTCTGTTAACATCTTTTCCTTCGTGACTTGCTGTGATATCAAGCACAGCAATTTGGGAAACTCTGTATACTAGAAAGGTTAAGGCAATAAATTCTGATTTAGGGGTAGTATGGTTTACTCCAGTTGCATTGTTCAAAGAGCATTCTTCAAAGATTTTTTTTTTTTCCTCTTTTTTTTTTTTTTCCCCTTTTGACTATTCTGTTAGTCTTTCAAAAAAAAAAAAAGGGAACCCATTTGCACTTTTCTTCTTCTCAATGGATGTTAACTGGTGAATAAATTGACCCAATATATATTCAGGTCTTATAAATTACATATTGTTGTTTTAAAATGCATTAGGGATAGAAGTTTTATTCAAAAACCCATCAAGCTCTTGAGTTCTTGTTCTTGTGAGGAATAAATATGTAATTTATGTTATTTCAAACTGATGTTTTCTCTGTTAGGAAGAGATTCAAGTAATACGTGTGTGTGCACACGTGTGCATGCACACATGTGCGCACATAATCTTGCTAAGTTTGTGCCTCCTCTGTAGATTGACTCTGGATTTTTTCATGAAAATGATCTCAAGATAGTTGCGAAGTCGATACGTGACAGAGTAGCATTAATACTATGGAGAAGAGAGAGAATTTGGCCTAGGATGCAGTCAGAGGAACGTCGGGACTCTGAATGCCTGGAGAAGTTGAAGACACCGCATGCTCAGCAGGTCCAGGTCACCTACCTTTCTCACACTGGTCACCATGTCCTGTCGGAGTCGGAGGAGCCTGAGGCGGACCAGCATCCCTTTCAGCAAAACCTGCCCACCAGCGTCACGTCTGTTGCATGTAAGTCTCGTGTTGGTTTTGTGTGCACGCGGTGATGAATGTCCGAGGGTAAAAATCAACGACAATCTGAGCTCAGCGGTGAGTTGAGCTGCTGTGCATGTTTTTGTATGCTCAAAGAACACAATTGTCTCGGACAGATGCATAACAACTTTGAAAGAAATAGTTTCAAGAAAAACTATATTATATAGAGATAGCTCCTCCTTCAGTAGCAATAAATGCAGAAAGCATAATATATTTGTAAATGGAAAAGCAAGAAGACCTGCTGCTAGACACAAAAAAATACGTTTTCTGTGCCAGGTGGTGGGATCAACACTAAGTTTGTGCGAAACACGATTTCAGAGCCTGCAGAAGTTGAATTGGCACCAATTGGTTAGAGTGACTGGTGGCTTTTTCAAATGATGTTGACAATGTGGAGATGTTTATTCAAAAGCAGACCTTGCTGAAACCAAAGCGCTGCGGTTTCTTGTGTTTTGTGACTTACTCTTGATGGCTTGCGTCAAGTTTTTTGTGAAGCTGTGCAAAGGTCTACAGCAGAAAAAAAACCAAACCATCTTTAAATGTTACATGATGTAATTCAAGATTTCCCTGTTTTGTGGGAAATATCAACTGTGGTTTGGTCACGTGTGTTGGGAGCACCAGACCTTGTGGGTTGTCGCTGTAATTATTACTGGGGTCCTTGGGTCATGATGCAGGTGCTCTCCGTGTTCCTCCAGGCTCTCTATTTTGTCCTGAGCTCATGACCTTGAAGCAAGGGGGTGGTTTGATCTTCGTTACGACAGGTCAGAGTAGGTTGGTGGCCCTCATTCGTCCAGGCCCTGGAAGCTTCAAGCCGATGATTTGCCAACTCTACATTCAGCTGGGGGCTGAATCAAGAGCGATCATGGGGCTGTTTCAAGACAGGAGGATTTACATCTCCTATTTTAATTCCAAGCACTGATTTTGGTCTATCTCTGAATAAGAAACTACCTGGCTTTGCTTGCAGAGCTTGTTGGTTGTTTGTTTTATTTCTGAGCATCAGACTTAATCTCCAGCAAACAGCAAGGCATGAGGAAGTAGTGTTTTTATTTCCCTGAAGTAACTTGTCCCTGTCTCTGTCCCCTAAAATCAACCTTTGTTACCAAGTCAAGCTCTGGTATTGAAATCTTAATCTATTTATGCTTTTAAACATCTTGAAGGAAATGTTGCCAGATATTTTGAGCTTGGAAGATTTGAAATTTTATGAGAGTTCTCTTTTTTTTTTTTCCCCCTAGCCAGTTTTTCTGATAAAATCTGATGTACATATTTTGCTACTGAACTATTATCATAATGTTTCTGTTTTACTGCTCTGGACTTTTATGTAAGCATATTTATATTAAAGATGCATTATCTTTAGCAAAGAGACAGCTGCCGCTTTAATTCAGGTATTGTATAAATTGTTATACAGAGGTCTGCTTTGAATACTAAAATAACCCAGCACGCCTCTGCAAGAAAACAAGCCTTTACAAGATATGAGAAATGACCATATTTGCATAACGCTCAGAATATTGCAGTATTTACAAAGCTTTTTTGTCTGAAGCTAAATGGATCTCATTTCATTTTTTTTGCATCATATACTTATTTCATGCTATCTAATTCCTTTGAGAAACACCGTAATTATGACTGTTTTTTTTTCCAGTGGTACAATGAGGCTACTTGTGCTTCCCATGGTTCTGTTGGACATGAGTTGGCAGAATTTTATAATAAATATAAACCCCCCCAGTTTATTTCCTACTCCTCCTCAACTTTTAACCAATACTTGGTATTATTTGACAATTCGCTATCAGATGTCTTTGAATGTTTTCTTAGTGATGTTAGGATTAAGACCTCTATAAATTACTGTTCTACCAATTAATATAATAATCTGCGGTCAAATGTAAAAATGGAAATTAATAACTTAATGTGTGTAATGCATGTTCTATAAAAATCTGAGACTGACTCACAGCTTTTACTTTAGCACTCTACCGTCATACTCTTTTTTCTTTTTTTTTTTTCCCCTCCTTTGAGGTCTTAAATAATTGTTTGTAATAAAATGGAAGTGTGTATGCGGCAGAAATCTCTGCCTTCTTAGACTAGGGCCATGTTGACTCTTTTTAGAAATGAGCTGAATAAATATAGAGGGGAGTTTAATTTTGCAAAAAAACAGTTGGGAGAATAGTTTGTGAGTACTGAGGAGAAATCATCTCTGGTGCTACTAAAAAAATAATTTGTTATTTAAAAGCCAAATAAGTAAAACCTTATTTGGAATATGGAAAAAAGAGAAGATGGAAAGTGTCGGAAAAATAAATAGCATTTAAACTGAGCTGTAACTTAAGCCCTTTTTTTGTAACTCTGTTAGTTTTCTTTCAGTTTTGAGTTTTAAATCTCTCTTACAAGCTATTTGTCTTTTGGATGCTTACAGCTACGGTCTTGATTGTCTCATTTCATTTCTCAAATGAAGAAAACAGTAGCTTATGCTCAAGAAGAACTGGGCACCTGTACTTTGCAGGCTTCGAAAGTCATGAAAAGACATTTTAAAACCAGTAATCCTCAGTGGTACAGTTAAAAGATCTATTTCCGTTTGAGGAAAGATACGATGCTTGCCCAGTACCCAGAGCTGTGCAATTCTGCAGGTTAGCTGGGCAAACACTCTGCATGAGAAACTCCGGCAGAGCTCTGAATGGTACTCCTAAATCACTGCAAACCTGCAAATTATTTTGTTATCTGTTCTTCATCTTGAGGTATTGCTGTATACTTAAGTATGGTATGATTCGCTGAACTAATAAAGCGTACAATATAAAGAATTCTGTAATTTTCAGTGCTACTAATAAAAAAGGTGTTAAAGTCAGTACAGCCCTGGGAGATCTAACTCTAAAAGACTCCATGACCTGTTACGAACATTACAACTGGGGGCTTCCTTTCCTTTCATCCTACAAAATCTATAAACGTCTGCAATTCTTAATGTCAACCTTATGCCCTTTAAAGGAAATATCAATGTGCCTAAAATATCGTCGTGCACAGAAATCCATGGGGATGGTTTTTGGCTTAAGAGAAGCAGTATGCGCTTTTTGTAGAAAATAACGTTTGTGTTGCATAATTTATTTATATAATGGAAAGGACTAGGGTAGTAAAAATGCTAATTATGTAAACCAATGTTGACCTTGCTCTAAAATCATTACTTGAACGTTTGGAGTTGTTGAGCTTTTAATAAAAACTATTGTTCTTTCAGCTGACAGCACATTTGACAGTGGCCAGGGGTCCACTGTTTATTCAGACTCCCAAAGCAGCCAGCAGAGCGTCATCTACTCGTCTCTGCCTGATCCAGGACCTCCTGCTATCCAACGGGTGTATAGCCCACCTCTGAGCGAGAGCCAGGCTGTGCCCCATAGCCTTCAGCAGCTGGGGCACTACCAGCAGCCCTCAGGAGTAAGTCCAAAGCTTTTCAGAATCATTCTGTATCCTAGATCATACTTAATGGCTCATTTATGCTCTTGTTTTCAGTAGGTGTGGATTCCAGGGCTTGCTTCATATATTCCTCACTCAGCTCTACCAATGGTGACTTGCTTAGTAATGCATTTCTAGTTGATCTGAAATGTGCGCTTAGTAGATGGTGTCTGGCTAGCTACATTTGCCATTCTGAAGAAATGCTTCACTGGCAGCTGTCACACCTCCAGTAAAAAAGCTTATCAATCCGTTGTCACTGAACTACATTAGTAGCTTTGCAATTACTAGTTTTAAACTCATGCACGTGTTTGAGAACTGTTTTGTTTGCTCACTGTCAATATAGCCACACATTATTGTTCCTTCATTTGTTCAAGAGCCTCTTGGGTCTGATGTTTCTTCCAGTTGTGACAAAAGTCACACGTGCAGTCGCTGCCTCTCTGGCTCTGGGTTTGGATTTAATCTTGCACAGAGATGGCAACGTACGTCCATTACTGAGGCTCCAAAATCAGGCACTGGTAGCCCAGTCAGACATTCATGCTTGCTCCCGTTTTCATGCTGTTATGACCTTGACTGAAAGCAATTAATGGAACTACTGGTGCAAGAACAAACACATGCGAGTGAACATAAATCTTCAGGCGCTTCCAGTGAGAGGCACAACATGAGCACGTTGTGTCCTTCAGAAGCTGTGGCAGCACCGTGTTCCAGTTCCAGCCTGCACCCACTACACAGGGCAGGCAGTGCTCGTGCTGCTTTTCGCCGCCACGGTGACCCCGTTGTGGCTTTGACTCCAAACGCAACGTCCCTTCCCCAAGAACCGCGAGAGGAAAACGTGTATCTGCAGACTAGAGAAGAGGCAGCAGGCGCATCGCCTCGTGGCATTGGGGACCTCCGCACACCCTGCGGAGCTAATGGTCTCTCAGCAGCCTCGTCAGACATGCCTAGCCTGTTTATGTCAGTCTGGCCAATATCAAAACGTGTCAGAAGTCTTGATGCCTGTTGAAAACGCTTGCTCCCCCAGTAGCCAACTCCCAGAAAACTCAGTGTCTCAACCTCTCCTGCAAATCAGCAGGCCATGGGGCAGGAGTTTAGAGCTGCCTCTGTTACGTGAATCTTTACAATACATAATTAGCCAAAAGACCAGTTCTTCTCCTGTGAGATCTGCAAGGGTTGCAGAAAACGGTCTGCCTTCTGAATCCTGCGATGGCGGAGAAGCCAGCGTGCCTGGATGGTCCCAGCCCTGTTGTAAAGTGTGCGCTGGCAAAACACCACTGGCGGAGAGCAAGTTGGTGACTGCAGCTCCCCCGAGCAATGGAAGAAACCTGCCTAGTAAAAATGATAGTAATGATGTGGTAGGTTAACTTTTTTTTTGTTTCATCCTATTTGACTTAAGGGAAGAAAAAATAAAATCCAGGACCAATGGTTTTTTCCTGCTTGATCCAGATTTACCCTACGTACTTGGGAAGTGCATAATTTCCCTGGTTTTACCTTATATTTTCCAAAATGCCTGCAAGAAGTTATGAACTGTACTTTGTGAATGCATTGAAACATGACTCCTGAAGGAAAAAAATTCATCCTTGGCATCTGTAGCCAGCTCCCTCCACCGTGGAAACCACCTTTCCTGTGTGCATACGTCTCCTGGGACGCATCCTTCCTTGTCTCCTGTTCACCTGAAGCACTACCTTAACAACTCTTAACTACCACACTCAAAAGGCACATCTTGAGCAGAATTTTTTTTATTAAATTGAGCTGTGCAGCACACTCTCTTAGAGCAGACTCATTCTTTCCATTGATAGGTTTCAGTAATTTTAACCTAAATGCATTACTTTTTTCGTGATTGAGGGTTTGGCAAGATAATAACTTTTATTCACGAGCAAAATATTTCTCCTAGCCTTTCTTTTTCTGATGGGGGTTTCCATATTTTTTTTTCTTCCTGCGATAACCTAAGTAAAAAGTTCCAAGGTTTGAAAATCTCGGCAAAGACAGGAAACAAAAGTCTGACTCAAAACCTTCCATTTTCCAAGAAAAAAAAATAAATCACCATTTATCTGGGAGATTATTTACGAAGATAACAAGCACATAACTGGAGCTGTAGTAGGTTTTTGTTTAGGCTTATGAGCCTCAGTCTGACATACTGTTTATTTTTAATTTATCTACTTTGAGCTGAAGTTTGAGAACTGCTGTCGTTACAAACCTTATCTGAATTTCTTTTAATTTTTTTTGTTTTCACTTCCACTGTGGTTTTAATTTGTTTCTCATTTCTCTATTCGTTTTCTTGGCATCCATTTCAAGTAAATTACCTGCTTTTTTGGAAGATAAAGATTCTTTATGAAATTATAAAAATCTTCGTGAAGATAAATTTCTTTTTCATCCAGTTAACGGCTTGTTGTTGCTGTTGGTATATTCTCACTGTGTGTGTGCTTTCAGTGGTTTTACTGGTCTGCACGCTTGCTTCCAGAAAGAAATGCAATGCAGTTTGGATGTCTTATTTGGAATTTGACAACTTTTTTCCTCGTGTTTAGATTAAGTAACTTCTTCCTTTCCTTGCAGATAACTTTTCATATTTTTTTCCCCCTCTGTGTTGAACCAAGTACCCAGTAGAGTATTCCCTTGCAACTATATTCTTGGTGAACCGTTGCAGAGACTCTTAATGTGAGGGTGACTGTTCTCTAAAGCGGTGCTCTCCCTCCTGCAGCCTGGCCTCCCCGCGGTTCAGGCTGCGCCCGCAGTGGTCTCCCAGCGGCCCCAGCACTACCAGGAGCCGGCGATGCCGTTCCCCGTCGTCCAGCCCACCACCGTCGCCTCCCTGCAGCTGGGGCAGCCGCAGCCGGTGCTGGCCAGCCAGCAGGTGAGAGCTTGGCCGCTGCCAAAAAGTGCTTTTCTCATCCCATTCCTTGCCCGTGCTCTGCTTCAACCCATACCTGTAGCAAGTGTGAGGTGTTTGAAACTATTGAGCTGCAGCTGGAGAGATTTAGGGATGGGGCAAAGGGTGCTGGGTTTAAGGGACGGGAGAGTAACGGGCTCGAGGACAATCGTCGTGTGATACCTTGGAACGTCTTGATGTAGCTTAAGACTTCTCTTCCGTTGTGGCTTAACAGCATTGGCTTGAAGCCTTGCATTGATTTCAATGTACTATCTTGGTCCTTAGAAACCAAATAGTTTTCTATTAATTTTGTGTTATTATTTGGCACCTCCTTTCTAGCCTTTCTAAAAGCTTAGAAAGAGACTCTGTTGCCTGGTGTCAATTGTCTTTAAATCCTCGGCGATGCTGCTTTTTGACTTGTGCACGCGTGTTAAATGTAGTCCCATATATGCGTCCAGCCAGTAGCTTTATCTTCCAAGAGAAGAATCTGTCTCTCGCTGAATTGTCTCCAAATAGTAATTCGTTGTGCATTTTGAATTACCAAATTCCCCCCAAAACCTGTGTTCCTTAAAGGTATTTACCAAAACACCTCTGTTGAGCAGCTGAGGGGCAGCGCGAAGGCTGCAGCCGCCTCCTCGTGCAGAGGTGGTGTCAGCCTGTAAGGAACGCAGCCACAAACCCGTACAAGGTGGTAATTCATGGCTCATTTTTGTGGTTCTACCAAAAGCCTTGGCTTCCTTTGGTAGAAACTGTTGATGGGGCTGGGGAGTGTCTGTATGACACTTTTGACTGGCATGTATCGTACCTCTCCAAACCTTTTTAGTTATCAACATTTATCTCACAAGTTGGTTTTTTTTTTTTTTAACATGCCCTGTTCTTCTGAAAGCATCAGTATAAGAACAATGTAATTTGGTCTCCTGGAAAAACACATGCTTGTGTGAAGTTTTGTCGTATATCAGGATTTTTTTCTAAAGGGCACAGATATTCTCATGGTTCTCTCAGCCAAAAATTTTACGCTTATGCAGATTTAGGATCTCACCAGTTGCACAGATCTCTAGTGGCCTCTGGAGCTTTATGCTGACACTTCAAAATCTGTTGTTTATTTTCTCTCCATGAGTAAATGCTGGTTTGGAATAGGATATTTGCCCAACTTGCTCAATTTCTTTCACATGCCCTTTCCTCACAGCGTTGCTGTCTCTTGAAATAATTCTATCCCTGATAGTAAAAGGATTTAATAACTATTCTGTCTTTGTTTTCTAATCTTGCCAGGAAGCCCAATAAAAGACTTTTTACAGTATTATTATTACAGAACTAGGTAAAATGATAAAGTTTCTGTGCAGAACTTCCCAGAGCACCTGTGTGCCCCAGACAGAAGTAGGTCTGGTGTTCCCAGAGTCTCCAGGCATGATGCTCTAAGCAGTGGAGATCTGCAGTCTTTTGTAAATGAACAGTAGGGCAGGTCAAGAGAATGGGAAATCAGATGAGAAAATTAATCTAACAGAATGGAATGTATTGATCTTGTATGAATATTCACTGATTGCTCAGACACATGGGATCAATATTGCATCTCCTCGTTATTATTTTTTCCAATTTGGGTATCTGTGCATTTATAATGTTAAGGTTATGATGAGGCAAAGTTAGCGTAATTCATTTGGATATTTTCCCCTCCCTATGCTTCATCCAATTCGCAAACATTTTGTAAAACACAAGTTGAATTGAAAATGGAGGCTTAAGGAAGCTGCTTAGTTCCATGAGCACAGGTTTTTTTCTGCTTTTAACGCAGTGTCCCCTCGAGTCGAAGGTATGTTGAACAGCCTGTGTCAGCGTGCTCAATCCTCAGTTGTCTGTGGGCAGCCTGTCTGAGCTGCGGATTAACCCCGCCAGGGATGCCGAGATACCTGAGCTGGCTCTGTGTGCTGGCAAGGTTTATTAGCTCCAGCCCAGCACCGTGCGAGTGTGACTGTTCTGCTCCGGAGGTCAGGTCAGGTCTGGCAGGAGTTTCCCATGTTGCAGAGCTGAGGAGCCTGGTGGAGCAGAGCCCGTGCTGTGGGATGAGTCGGGGCTCAAGTGGGGGCTGCCCCGATGCCTCAGGCGGGGTCCGTCTCACCAGATTGCTCTGTCTCACCACCAGTGCCAGGCCAGCTCCTGCTGAGCCGCTTGTTTGCATTGGCGCTGCCATTCTCTTGAGTTTGGGATTCTATCTGGGTAAATGCCCCTGCTTTCCCAAAGCCTGGAATGGGAGAAACTGCAATACAGAGCCACGTCGTTGGTTTTTTCTTTAATGTGGCAAGATGAATACTCAGACAGGACTAAGAAACGCTGGAGGAGCTGAGCTGGTGCTGTGCAGAGTTACTCAGTGCTGTCTCCAGCACGTCTTGCACTGCTTGTGGCATTCGGTGCGTTCAGCCCCGGACACTCGATACCAGTTGCCAAATACTCTTTTGTTCACTGATCCTTGTATTGGAAACTTACTAGTCGTGGTTGAATTTTAGCTATTTAAGGGTGGACGGTATCTTGCTTCCTTGATACATCTTCTACAGTTTTATTGTATTAATACCTAAAAACTCTGGTTGAAGACTCCTGCTACTAAAAAAGCACAGAGCAAAATATTACGATACTAATTTACGGTGGAAGTGGCGAAGATGAAAGATTATGATGCTTGGCTATTCATTTTACAGTTACCTTTGACCATCGGGCATGATGTTAGGTTCCCTGTGCTGCAGAGCCCGGGTGAAGCAATCAATCCTGTGGTCCCAAGTAGGTCAGTCCAGAGCCAACGTGGTGCCTCGGTGCCATGCTTCTGAAACAGAAGATTTTTTTTAAAGTACTTTCAGCATTAATTAGGGGAACTGAAGAAGGAGATACCGGTAGCATGGAAAATGCGAAAGTTTGTTACTGATTATTTTCAGCTTTAATGCAGCTTTTTATTTCTGTTCTACTGCATGAAATCTGGCAGGCCAGTGGAGCGCTGTTTTCCCTGGAATGGTAAAACGGCTTTTTTGGCTGCCACATTTACTACAGCACCTCAGAAAGAACCGGGATCCAGCTTTTACTATAATTACTGTGTTTTAGTCATGTCTCAGGTAGTAAGCGTTGTATATTTCAATGCCTGCTACATTATGTAGTCAGCTTTTGAATGCCAAGATTAGCTGGGTATAAACTGCATAGTAGGAATCTTTGAAGTTAGTAGGTGGGGATTTTACAGGGCCAACTAGAACCATCTCTGGGATTTAAAGAGTCTGAGTCGTTACAAATAACCTTTCCAAGACAGCTAGAACTTGTCTTTTCAGGTAATGTATCTTGCATTTAAATGTGTTTTAAACATAGGCTCTTGTACAGTGTTTACATTAGGAGCGCCCTTGTCTTCTATAAACCATCCCGACTCCGAGCGACAGTTCTGTTCTGACTGCGCGGCTTGAACTAGAGAGGGAAACGGGTGGCCGTGTCCAGTGAAGTGGTTCTTTCATAATATACAGGCTCTAACCTCTTCTTATTCTTCTTTTCTTTCCTAGCAGCAACCCATATCGCAGCAAGCGTCTCTGCAGCAGGTGCTTGCCAGCCAGCCAGTTTGCCCAATCCAGCCTGCGACCCATCTATTGCCCCAGTATCAACCCCAGACCTCTCAGGTGGCAGCTAGCAGTACACCACTAAAACCCCTGCAGATTTCAACTGTGCCGCAGCTTCCGCCGGTGGCCCCTTCCCAGGTAATATCGTTGAAAACTGTGTGTGAATACATCCATTTGAGTAGAGCTTTCCAGCTAATAATTAACATGATTTGCAGTTTTTGTGTGGCTATTTTGAATGCATGCCAATTTAAGTAGTCCATAAGAATATAGCTGTTTCCTAATTCCTGTGTATTTCTTTACTATTTGTTTTTGTTTGGTGAAGCAAAAATCTCCTTTGTGAGTAATCCCGTGTCATGCCTAGAGAATCCAGTGAAAGGCAGTTACAAAACTGCGGTAACTGCATTTTTTGTTTTGTTTTGCACCTCCTCTCTGGCATACTCTCTTCCCCATCCCAGGCTTAAGAGCATGAGAAGTTGCCCATTTTTTTTGTTTTTGAGCTCCTGACTTCACCACTTTCCGCAGCACCCACCCGCCCCCCTCCCTAGCCCTCACCTGCTTCTGTGTTTTCAGTAGCTAGCTCTCAGCCCTGTTTCTGTTTTCAGTAGCTAGCTCTCAGCCCTGTTTCTGTTTTCAGTAGCTAGCTCTCAGCCCTGTTTCTGTTTTCAGTAGCAGGGACGGACCCTTTCCTTGGCCTCCGCAGCACCCACCCGCCCCCCTCCCTAGCTCTCAGCCCTGTTTCTGTTTTCAGTAGCTAGCTCTCAGCCCTGTTTCTGTTTTCAGTAGCAGGGACGGACCCTTTCCTTGGCCTGGAAGGGTTTGTTGGAGCTATCAGTGTGTTTGCTAGTGACAGCCACTATGATGTGAAGCAGCTTGCGCCAAAAGGGAAGAAGCAAGCTGCTTCCGTGATGACAGGGTAGTTAGTCCGCTATGTCACTGGGAGGTTTTGATTATAAAAACCCTTTTATGGGATCTTCTGCTGCCTGGGTTGCAGCCAACCTGTTTAAAGACAAGGGTTTTAAATTGTCTTACTGAATTTCGCATGAAAGAGTTTTGCATTTTTTTCTGGTCCAATCAATTCCTTTCCATTTCTGTTAAAATGAAAGCAGCTTTTAATTAGTATGTTCCTTGAAGGCTTCCAGCTAGTGTTAGAAATAGTTTTAAGCTCCTAAGGTATAAAAACGTCCCCCCCCAATGAAATTCTTTCTCTTCTGCTAATGATTTAAGCATAAATCGGTTTTTATTACTGTTTATAAACCTCAGGAAATGAATGGAAGTGGTTAACAGACAGACATAATTATCATCATGGCACAGGTGATTTCTACGTACTTGTATGGCAAATGAAACTACTTTGTACCATCAGTGAAAGCACTTGCAATTTATGTGATATTATATTTTTTTCAGATTCCTCAGTTTCCTGTCATTCCTGCAATTACTCCTCTGGCAGGACTTGACAGCCTTCCTCCAAACCTCTCTGATATACCTGCTGCAAACGTGCCCCCCATACCTGCTCCTTCTCAGTATTTTGCTCCGGCCGTGATTTTACCCAGCCTCCCCATGAACCCCACTCTGCCTATGGCACCGAACTCCCCTGCCCTCCCCATGCAGGCAGTCAACCTTCCTCATACAACCGTGGCTTCTTTGGTCTTGCCCTGCCAAACAATAGTGCCAAATATGTCGGCTGCTACGATACCATTGCTTGCTGTGGCTCCGCCGGGAGTGCCGGCGTTGCCACCGCATCACGGGGTGCCCCAGCTCCCCCAGCAGCAGATGTACCAGACCACCTTCCAGCAGATCATTCAGAGCGAAGCGCCCTCTCCCCATCACACGCAGAGCACGCAAGCAGTATCCCAGCCGCAGCAACCTCCACCTCCTCAGTCACTTCAGCCAAGCATAATTCATCCTTCAGAACAGACTCTGTCTGCGCCTGGGGCTGGTCACCAGGTAATCCACCGGGCGTGGGGCTGTGTCGATACCGGACCGTAGGGCGGTTACTGAACGCAGGCGTTCCCGGGGCTCGCTCCGTTGTAAACACGCAGTGGGGAGGTTGGTTGTTTTTTTTTTCCTTGCTCTTAAGATGTTTTGTTAACTTCTCGACCTTGGTCCCGGAGGTGGTTGCTAGAGCTGTGAAGTCAGGTGGAGCAGGTGAGGTCTTAAGCCAGGGACAGGTGAATATCGAGGGGATACAGGGAATAATCTAACGGGCTTTGGAAAGTGAGCAGATTGAGCACTTTTTGAATTCCCTCTTCCTTCTCGAAGCATGAGCTGTCGTTCTCCTGTGACAGGGGAAGAGGCTGGCCCGTGACAGCAGCTGCACAGCCTTGCTGACGCCTTTGCTCCAGTCTGGGCATGACGCATACGCAGGCTGTTGTATGCTCGTGGCGAAATACGGGCAAGCTGGCAGGAGTGGGCGAACCGATGGGGTGGTTTTGATGTAGAACTGCTTTAAAACAGTAAAGGGAAATGGCCGTTCGATAACGACTCCAGAAAACTGCACGGAAGAGGCCTATCGGACACGAATGAATTCTAGCTGCAGACCCTTTCCCCCTTAAAAGAAATGAAGCATAAAATGGAGCTTCTAATATTAGCACTATTTACAAGAGAACTGGTTCAGGACTTGTTGACAGAGTCTGTGAATACTTCTATTGCCACATCTGTGATATGACAACATGAAATGCAGTCTGACCCAAGCAGGAGAGAGCACTAAACCTGTTAATAATAGCATTCTTGAAAATCTGTGTTCTACTACATCGCTTTGCCATAACATATTGATTAAAATTCATAACATCCCATTTCAACCTGCCATATCATGGCATCTTCAAAGTAGTACCTCATTTTTAAATTTCTCTCTTCAGCCGTATATTTGGTACAGAAATATTGTTTGTGAAAATGTAGACAACACGGAGCCCGAGACAGTTGCCGCTGAGCTCATTAGCCATAGTGTTTCCGATGGCTTTAGAGGGAATTGGATCGGGCCCGTTACGCACAGCAAGCATGGCAAACACCAAAACTGATATTCCCAAACAGTCCTGACACAGTCATTATCTATCAAATAGGTATGCAAGAATTTCATAGTAATTTTTTTAGGATGAAATTTTTAGGATAAATAGTAATTTTTTTAGGATGAAAAAAGATAGTTATTACAAACAAAATGGACAAGTGCAGAGGAATATTCAAAAATACATTGTTCTGTGTTTTAAAGTACTTTTAATAGAGAGGTATTTCTGTAAATAAAGGCTTTGCAATGCACTGCTGTTTTGGCAGTTGATGTTTAGCTCCTCTGAGTTTAGTTTTGCCCAGGTAAATTATACATTGAAACATTTTGTGAATTGTTCTAGTTATATAAGATTTAAAAAAAAAAAATTCACTGCTCTTCTGCAATGTACACCACAGTTGCTATTCTACCAACCTCCACTTAGGCAGTCGTGTAACCGTTATGTGTTGCAAAGCACACCGCGTCTTTATTTTTATCCTCATTTAAACCTGGAATAATAATTTCGGCTCATATCCAGAATCTGCAGAGAGCATGCAGTAACGAAATTGTGTGGCCTAGTTCTCGTCTGAGTCTTGATTTTTTTTTTTTAATAAATTTTCCAAATAGTCTAAATCTCTAGGTGATGATACCTTAAAAAAGTAAAAATTAGGCAGGGTTTTACCTAATACTAAAAAGCCTGTTTTCTTCCATATTTTCCTTTCTTAACTTTTTCCTCTTCCCACAAGCTCAGTCCCCTTGGAAAAATACATGATGTACCTAAAAGGAGAATGTTCTGTTCTTAAATGTACAACTTGACAGAACTGCTATGCAGGATAACAACAGTCTCTAAGGTAGCGGGCATCTAATCGCATCAGTCCGGTTCCCACAAAGCGCTTACGCACACGAGTTATTTTAATGCACTGAAGAAATCCACTGAGATAAATGAAACTTCCTCTGTGTGCGTGACACAAGGAAGCGTTTGCAGGATTGGGGCCTTGTTGCTTAGCGTGTCAAGATTTAAGTTGTCTCTTAAATGTTTTAACTAAATGGAGAACAATATCTTCCGTAAGACACTGGTGTATATTCAGTAAAAAAGAGTTAATTGTGTGGTCTATACCAGCTACTGGTTCTACATATAAAACAGATTTTTTTTTTTTTAAACCCTAATTTAGATTACGGGTAGAGTATATTTTTCTCTGCATGGACGTTGTGGTATGCTTGTTGAAAGCAGAGCAAACTATCCAGGACAATGAACTCATAATCTAAGATTTTAATTTCTTAGCAAAATACGGCTTTGTTTCCATAAATTAAATAGCGCCTGAGCAATACACACATTGTCATAATTATACAGGAAGAATCCTCAAATTTTTATTTGGCCGTTTGAAAGCAAGTTTAAACTCTTAAGTAGTCACCTTTCCAAGCAGAGACCACACAAATGCAGTCTCACTGCAGAATTATAATCCTTTTTCCGTGAACTCCGGTGGCTTTAGTACCCTGTCATGTAAGTCACAAGCACTCTAAGTAGAGATTTGTTTTAATAGCTGTCTGTTGTGTTACAGCAGATTACTGGACACGCTCAGTATGCTTTGGAAGCTGGAGCCCAGGTGCCCGTGCTGCCTGTGCAACCTTCGATAGTCATGTCACCGCCTTTGCAGTTGCAGCCTGAACTGTTGCCTCCCCGCGTCGCTCCAGAAGGCATTTCACAGATTCATGGCAGCCTTGCTACAGCTAGTCCGCCCGTCCCCATAGATCACTGTCTGCCTCTTCAGCCTTCTGGTCTGCTGCAGCTTCAGCCCGATCTTTCCCAGCCGCTGGGTCAGCAGCTCCCAGCTCCCTCCTCAGCTGTCCAGGCAGAGACATCTCAAGAGGTAGAGCCCTTTCCTCTGAAGTAACTCACCAGCTTCACCCTTAACCTTCTTTCTTACTCCTTTGCGAAGTAATGGGCTTATTTCACAAGGGAGATTATCCCCGCTCATCATATAGAGCCGCTTGTCCTAGATGCTAGCAACTCTGGGTCAGCAAAAAATTGGCTATTTCAAATGAAGCTGGAAAATGCATGTTGTACCTTGTGAAACGTCTCCTTGAAGTAATGAGGCAGCAGGACTAAGTACCTCTTTGTCCGTAGCTGAGCACAAATACAGAGCTAGATACTACTTTCTTTAAGTGCTGGGGGTCAGTGAGAAGCTGTTCTGCAGAATTTCATCCATGTTTTGTCCAGTCTTGTTTTAAATGTCTCAAGCACTTGTGCAAACAGCCATCATTTGCCTTAAGAAACCGTTTCATACTCTGATTCTTCACTATGTAAAAGCGCTTCATGCTCCTCAGCTTGAGCCTTATTCCCATTTCATTTAGCGTTGTATCCTCCTGTATTGCCTGAATTCTAGTCTAGCCCTGGGATTTTTGTTTCTTCAGATATTCATAGGCATTCCCAATTCTCAGTGGTCATATAAGCAAGATACATTTTATTGTTTTTCTTTATAAAACTGTCAGCTCCTCCTGTCTGCTATTTTGACTTTTCTTTCCACTCCCATAATTGTTTAACCTTCAGTCTTGACGGAATGGCACAGAACATTTCCTTCTCTTCAACTCTTTAATAAGCAAAGCAAAACAAAGGTTTTGGCATTTGTACCAGATTTCAGTAAATAAGTCTAATTTGTTCTCCACTTCTGAATGGAAACATCCCTCAGCAATTCTGCTTTCAGAATTGCTCCTCTTGAGGCTCTCTGTTCTGAGCTACCTTTCCTCCCAAAGTAAGTTTCCATCTTTTCAAACTGAATCTCTTGGGGTTTTGGGTTTTGGGTTTTTGGTTTTGGTTTTTGAAACCCATGCTTCCATGCACTTGCTGCATGCCTTGACTAAACGGTACAGCCTACGAATTTCATTAGAGGTACAGCTTAACTGCTCTTCCAGATGTTCAGTAAGGATGCTGCTAATACTAAAACTAGATTCTAGTTCCCCATTTTGCCTGTTCTTCTAGTGTCAGTCTAATTCTTGTCAAATAAATACTCATGCTGTGATGCAGAACGTTTCCTGGTGAATTTCTGTGTCCTCTAGGTTAGTTATAGCAGAAATATATAGTGCTTCACTTGCAGAATCCCCTAGTAAAGCCTGGCTGTGTCAGGCACATCCCTTACTCAAGGTATTTCTCCTCCAACTGCCTTTTTTCTGTACGTACAGCTCATGTCGGGTTCCATGCTGATGCCAAAGCTACAGCCTTCAATGCAGGGTCCATCCCATTAGAGATTCTGGAAATATGAATGAACCTCATTGTTATTGTGCAGTGTGATACGGGGGATACAAGTTGTCCTACATTACCTGAGAAATCCATGCCCGCTGAGGCACGTGTCTGTCCTGTCACTTTATCATATCCCTAGGAACGTTTAACCACTGTTTTGCTAACTTCATTCTCATATTTCATCTGTAAGTTCTCTCTTTCAATTTAAGAAATCAATCCAATATCATAAGATGGTCAAATTGATCGACGTGCTCCCCATGCTGACCTTATGACATATATTGCTAAGGTCTTCTTGGGTGTAAGAGGAGTTTCATATCTGTATATATTCGAAACACTGCATTTTGTTGCTACTCTGCCATAACGTTTTTATCTCTTATCTTTTGTTTAAATGTGTGGCAGTACTCACATCCAAACCAGTCTGAACTGATCAGGCAAATGAGATTTTTGTAAGGCACTTGATCAAGCGCGTTACTAAAATTTAGATACATTATGTCTGTGTTCTTGCTGTTCATTAATTTTGCAGTTTTATTGAAACTGCAGTCAAGCTTGGCATGGCATACGTGTGGCATTATAAGCAATGAGTGGGGTGACCGGTTAACCGCTAAGCTTTTAACTCCAGTCTACCAGCTGCTTTGGTATTAAGATGTAGTGATGACAGTCAGGGGCTTGTTTCTAGCTGTGTGTCTGTAGAAGGGTTTTATAGAAGTATGTTTGTCTATATATATATTAAAAAAAATATATATAAATATATTGAAAATTATATATATTTATGAATATATTTGGGGTGTGTGTATACATACACAGTTCTATACATGCACGGGGGGTGTGGCGTGTGTGTCTGTGTACATATGTGATAAGTTTGTTGCAGTAGGGCCAGCAGCATCGGCACCAC